TTTTCCCTTCCAGGCCCAGCCCTTTTTCCCCCCCCCCCCCCTCTCCCTTTTCTCACCTATGTATTTCAATACCTAAGATCAAGTAAACTATAATAAGATGTGATACAACGAATGTTTAGCGACAATTTTGTGGGTTGATTATCAATGCACACAATAAATATGTGTACTTTTTATTACACATCTTTCACTTGCTTTTTTCTTCTGATCATAACCTGGATTAGGCGATCACCATTTCAAGCTAATTACATTGTTGTTTTCAGATTTGGTGAGTTTTTGTTACAACTTTTAGAGAGAACTGCAACATAGATCAAGTGATTACATCTCTCTACGTGAACATTTTATAGAGATCTCCACAAGCATGCTCTCGTAATTGAGTGATGCTTTGTATTAGTGGTACTAATCCTCTCTCTTGTATTCATTTTTTTCAGCATCTCAGATACTATACTAATCCAACTAGGAATATTCAATTTAGGCATACATTGAGAATTAATTCTTATTTCCTAGAATGTTGGATATAAATTTGTGTTCTATTAGAAATAAAAATGAACCGTGGAAGGCCTTTCATGGTTTCTGTTTATGCAACTGGATCGATAAGGAGATAACCCGTGAAATGCACTTAGTTTTTTGGATGGCATAACTGAATTGATAAGGATAGGCAACTAAAGAGAATAATTGATCATCAAACAATAAATAATATGCCACTATCATCCGTGTATTAGAGGATTGACACCTTAATGGAATAAGGGAGGAGGGCTGGATATGGTTGTGTATGAGAAAAGATGTTATGAAACGATTTGTAAACTTGTTCGTATGAGCCTTATAAGACAAGGCATTACAACATATGAATGACAATTTGTGTTGCTTCGACTCTTAAAGATACCATGCTTTGCTAGAAGTGGCACTTTGCTGAAGTCTTTAAAGTTGTTTGTGGTTCTTCTTACAATGAGTTTAAAATGAAGCAAGTGAGCTTTTATGTTTTAAAAAATGAAAATTGACTTATCGGTAGTTGTAAGGAGATTTAGATGGAGGATGCTCATGGGAAGATATATGAGATGGTGAATGCATATTAATGCTATCACACTGTTAGTTGCATTATAAGATGTTTGTATCTTTGTCCCAACACCAGATGTTTGTTTTGTTGAAGCAATCAAATATATTTCTTTTGTTATTTTCCTTCTGAAAAAATTGACACACTTATGTATTCAATGAAATGTTAAGTTTTGTATTTCGTAAAGTATCAAAATAATCAATTTAATGTTTTTTCTCAGGCTAACATGATCAAGAAGACTGGAACTATCGTAGTTGGCACAAATAAAAGGGAAAATGCATAAGTACCCCCTCAGCCTACGCCCAAAATCCCTGAGACACACCTAACCTTTACTAAGGTCCTATTACGCCCCCCCCCCCCGAACTTATTTTATATATAATTTTCTACCCCTTTTCGGCATACGTGGTACTATATTGTTGGCCCAGCGCTTGTTTGATCCAAATCCATGATTTTAGGTTTGATTTTGGGTAGAATCTGATGTACTTTGAACATATAATCTATTCTAAGTGTTTGGGGAAAGAACCTATGGAGTTTAGAGGGTTTAGAGTTGAAAAACGAAGAAAAAATTTCGTCGGACAATTCTGGGCAGTGGTGGCACGTCACGGAGCTGGTTCCCCAGATATGGGAAATTCGTTTCGTGTCGCGGAGCCATCACGGAGTATTCTGCCTCAAAAGTTGTTTTCGAAACCAAAATTTAAATGCTTCTCCGCGTCGCGGACCCACCCTCAAATATTGATTTTTGGTCTTTTCTCTTGTTTAGCTATCTAAAATCATTCCTAAACATCATGAGGATCTTTCCTATCACAAATCACAATCCTTCAATCCATAATTCAATTCAAGGACTAGTTAAGAGTCAAGTCAAAGAGCAGTTAAGATCAAAGTCAAGAGAAGTTCTTAGAGTTTCCAAATGTTTTAACTTTGTTTAAGACTTAAAGTTCAAGTTGAGTAAAAAGTAAAGAGTACAGTTTGAAGTCCATTTCTTTAAAAGTATATGGGGACTATGTATTCCCAAAGGGTTTAAAATGTTTTCACATTTAAACAAGAAAGAAAACCTCGATTTCCAAAGAGCCTTCGGGCTAGTTTTCAAAAAAGAGTAATCGCATTCTAAATGAAGCAAGAGGGGAAACTTTGATTTCCAAGATAGCCTTTGAGCTATGTTTTTGAGCACTAATCTCAAATCACAGAAGAAGTATGCTTTTAAACATAAAGAGCTAGTATCATATTTTGGAAGTAGTATTGAGCACCGATATGGGGGAGCGTTCAGATAACCCACAACCTCCATAAACCATGTAGCCATCATGGGTAGAAAAGGGTCATACTTTTTAGATGAACCCTTAGTGATTTATAGCATAGACTGGTGGATCCACTTCGTAGTATAGGTTCTATACCCTCGGCAAAGTATAGGACGGCCCTGACAGTGTGAGGCAAAACGTTGTATCATCACAATAGCTCTTACGTGAAGGTTGTTGGTTAGAGAAACTCCCACAGAAGTAATTGTACTCTTATATACATAGTTTATTGTAGTTTTACATACATTTTCAGAGTCATAATATATCTTTGCATACACACAGAGTTGACATCATGTTTTAAACAACTTTTCTTTATATTGCACTTGTTTTAAACTGTTTTATATTGAATTGAGTTCAGTTATGTCTAGTTGAGTTGAGCTAGGTAAGTTCTTCAAATTCCTTTCAAGCCTAAGTTGTGTTTAGCATTCCAACTCGCATACTCATACATTCAATGTACTGATGCCAGTTAGCCTACATCGTCTTATGATGCAGAAGCAGGTAACCAAGATCAGCATCCCACGCATCGTTGATCCAGTTGAGCTTCAAAGTTATTGGTGAGCCTCCTTGCATTCTAGAGGATCCCCCTTTTTCATTAATTTATCGTTTTAGTTCATTAGGATGTCGTGGGCCTGTCCCAACATCCATCTCAGTTGTTTTAGAGGCTTCATAGATAGTCAGTCAGATGTTAGTTCATTCGTCATCATTTGTTATTGGCTTATGTTCAGAATTGAGTTGCCATTTTGGCTAAGTTAAATGTTTATTTTAAACATTATGAGTTCAGTTTAAGACATGTTGAGTTATCTTGTATTTGGATTCTCTTTCTTATGTCTAAGTCTTCCGCTGAGTAAGTAAGCTACGCCAAGGGTTCGCTTGGGGCCAGCAATGGTTCTCGAGTTCCAGCCACGCCCAGGGTGTAAGCTCGGAGCGTGACAAATAAGAACAAGTAAGAAATAACTATTCCGTGGGATTTATGCTTAGCACCGAGAGGATATGGAGATGGAAGCTCTCCCGTTAGTAAAGGTCGGGTTTCTAGAAGCAATCTCCTTATCCCTTACCTATGTGCCCCCATAGGATGATTGTCTAGATAGACATTAGGTAGTGGATCCACTTGAGCTAAAAGTTCATGGTCCTTACCTTGGTAAGTAGGACAACCCTTTTCGGTGTGGGAGACACCGGGGGATCATGTTATAGATCACATGGTCTCTATGTTGGTTAAGGCTACTTCCCATATTAATAATGAACTAGCGTTACTTCAAGAAGTATCTCATATGAGTTCAAAGGTTTAAATATGTTTAGCTTGCATTGACCATGTTTATGAATTATGTTTTCTAACTCATTTATATCATGTTTTAGCTTGGTCAATTGGATGTCATGAAATGTCATATTTAAGCATGTTTTACATGTTTTATGCATTGCTAGCATACTTGGTACATTGTTTTGTACTAACACATACTCTTGCCTACATTTTCCCCAAATGTAGGGTCCTCAGTTTTGTGGTAGTGGTTGACTTGGTTGATTCCGAGCTTGGTGAGTCCTCATGCTTCGAGGACGGACTTGTATTCATTTCAGTTTCTGTCTTACTTTCAATTTTGGACATGATGTATGGGTTAGGCCCAATTTCATTCTATTGTATTAGATGGCTAATGAGACAAGTATTTTATACTTCCATTTTTCTTTTATAAAACTATTGGACTTGAACTGTTGTTTTTACCTCTTTTGTTCTATTCTTATGTTATAAATGCTAAGTGGCTTGTATGGGGTCTTTCGGGGTCCTATACGCCATGTTACATCTAGGGTGTACCCCTGGGTCGTGACAAAGGTAGTCATGAACACTTGTATCTCGTCATGTATCCCTGGGGCTGGATAGTGATCCTAAGAGGTGAAATGCAATATAGTAAGATTTAACGTACAATGGAAGCAAACCAGTCTTCAAACTTCGCATGTTTAAGTATAAAGTCTAAATGATATATTGTGTTAATGAAGCAAAGTAAAAAAGAATTGACACTTAAATCAAGCTATAACACAATAGTGGAAAGCTGGTTGTTCTCCAAAACTAAGCAGGTAATAAAACTTTGCTTATGTACCCCATGTTTCCACTCCTAAATTGTGCAGGTAATAAAACTACACACACTTAGTAGGAAATCCCCTATTTATTGAGAATACTAGAGTTCCACAGTTGTATACTCACTCATTACACTCCATGTTTTCTCTCAAAATGCAAAACGAACATACAATACAACCATACACACTTGGCAGAAAGCAAAAAAGAAGAAGATAAAAGAAGAGAACAACTCACACATCTTGATTGTTCAGTTTCTTCCTTCCAATTTTAACAGAACTCTTCCTTTGTCTTAGGATGACTAAAATTTATTTTTCTTTCACCATGTCCTTAGAGAATTCTCTTATCATCTCTTGATTTTCCTTACTTGTTCATCCTATTAATACTAGCACTTAAAAAGCTAATGTTCTCTGAATACTAGCCTTTATTTAAGTGTATTTTAATATAACAGTCAGACGCCTTAATGTATATTAACAGAGGAATCGATTCAATCAATTGCATTCAAAATAGTAGCAGCCAGAGATCACAAACACAAAAACGATACTTTTAGGAATCTCGAATCACTTGGAAAGCACAGTTAATACCTGAATATTGATTAGTTCTTCAAGTGTATTTTCTGTTTTTTCTTCCAGTTAATGCGTAAATATGATGAAACATAATAGAAAATAAACTATAGGGTTAAATTCTCAACGACAAAGCAACAGGGGTAATAAAACGTGATAGAAACAGAGGAGTGTAGGGCAGCGACCTACCAACCTGAAATTTTCGTTGTACTTGGACGTAGTTGCTGCGATTGAATTATAGCTGCTTCGATTCAATATATGTTGCTGGAAGGTCACTGTTGCTATGAATGAATATATGGTGCTGGACGTGCAACTCTAAGTTAGGATGCAGAATCCTATGTGTGTGGGAGATATTTTTAGAAATAATTTCCTTATTAGCGTATAGAGGGTTTTTTTCTTTGTAATGTTTTCCTTATTGCCTAGGAGTTCTTTTTTTCCAGAATTTGGAGAATGGCGGGAAAATAAATAATTTAGAGAAAGTAGGAGTTTTAATTTTTAGAAAAAAAAAAGGCTTGTTTGCGGCCATTTTTTGGAATTGCCGCTAAAAGTGTACTTTTTTCCTGGCCATTATACATTAGCCGCTAATATATTGCCTCACATGAATACATTAGCGGCCATTTGCTTATTGCTGCAAAATAATTGTCGCTAAAGTTCATTTTTGTAGTAGTGTGGCAGTTTAATACAATGTTCTTAAATAAGTATATTCTTAATTAATTACTAATGTCTTACAATTTGAAAATTTCATATGGCAAAGGGAAAAGATGTTGATCGAGGCAAAATGAGGACCGAGACTCATAAGAGAAAAGATGGAAGATATGTAACTGAGACGACTAGAGAGATTGGGGTAAGTATTATTCTGTTATTGTTATTGTTTGCATTTTCTGTTG